ATCCACAGAGGGAGGGAGAAGAAAGGATTGTATTTCAGCTGCTGCTGCAGCTACTCCTGAGCGAGGATGACAGTCCCAGTGTTCAGGGGATCAATGATATCACAAAAATTGATCTGTAATAAATAGACTGAGAGTCTGAGTGTCCTGTAGCAGGCAGTAAAAATGTAGGCACTATAATGTTATGTGCATCATAGCACAGCATATGCACAATCCCATCCTGAGGAGGGTGAAGATATCTTTTATATCTCCCACTTTGCTGCATTTCCTGGGGTTTAGCTCTAAAACCACCAGAGACTTGTAATGATAATTCTCAAATACCAGTCCAATGGCACAAAAGTGTAAAAAAAAAAAGGAAATTTTATCGTGTAGTTTTATTCCTTCTGTCATTAAAAGAGAAAAAAAATTGCTGTTTTGAGGATTAGTAACTAGCCAGAGAATAAATCTGTTTGGGCATTATTATTTGCAGAGTAAAAGCTAATTTTGCAGTGAATGAACAATTGTATTGGTGCTTTTGGAGTGGCTGCAGCCAGAGCTACAAACATTTGTACATCCAGCTTTAGTTTGAGCTCCTGAGAGTTATGAACTAACACCAAGAAGATAATAAATAAACCACCAGATTTTTTTTTTTTAGATGGAATTGATGGAGTTTTACTCACAATTCTTAAACCAACATGGTTTTGTTTCTGAATGTCAAAGTTCCTGTTGGTGAGACCTTCCAGATGCTGAAAGCAGAATCCCAGTTACAATGGACTAGAGCAGGGTCCAAACTCACAAAGTCCCAGACTTGTGCACCCAAAACCTTGACAAAGAACCTGGTAGGGAGAGTTCTTTTGATATTGGTTTGGAAAGGAAACAATAGTAAAAACTTCCTTGGCTTAATCCTTACAAACTATGCAAATGGCAACCTCTCCTTACCTACAGTATAATATTTGCCTTTATTTACAGTCTAATATTATCCTAAAACTCAAATGTAATGTCAGGCTGTTGAGATGCATTAGAGGATTAATGTGATTTTTTTAAGGAATGGTTACTAGCAGAACACATCTCTGCTGCTCTTCACCCTGAAGAACGTTGGGGATCCCCAAGGCCAGACCAACTGGTTTCCAGCCATTCCCATCAAAGTTTTTATTCATTCTCTCACAAGTCCAAAGCATGAATGACCGATATAATATATTCCATGTTTTAATTATTGGGTTTTTTCCTGGTTTTTACAGTGACACGTGGTGGTCAGCCTGGATTTCACATGGATTATAAAATGTATTCTCACAGGTTATCACATACACTGGAGTGTTTTGGTGTGAACTACTTTGACACCTTGAAGATGGCTAATTATGCACATCTAAAACTCTTTTTCAAGGCTTTATCCATAACATATTGATCCTCCATTGACTCTCATTGCCCTTTACAGACTGGTGGCCACCAGGCTCTTGCTGCCTTATTTGATCTCCACTGATTACCTGAAATGCAATTTCTTTTCCAGCAGAGATCTTTGCAAATTGTGTCTTCCTGCATTACCTCAGGAGGTGTTTTTCCTGCTCTTTGAACCTTCTGCACAGAGATCTTCAAGGGAAAAAACAGAATTGCATCAAGGGAAATAAAAGACTTGCTGTAATCCTGAGACAAGTTTAGTTAAAGACGAGGAATTTGCCTTGGAGAAGTTTGATATCTGCATATAAGTGGGAGACTTTTGCATATCTGAGATGATATTGTCTATCCCACGTGGCTGTGACTCTGTTAATTTAAACAGATCTAGTCATAGCAATTTTACTGGCATTGTAAGAAGTAAATTATTTTTATTTGGCCCTGAGTCCTTCACAATGACTTTCCTCCAGCACATCAGTGCACTTCAGGTGCACAGAATATTCCCAACACACTGATTTTAGCCATAAATATTTTCTCTAAAGCTATTTCTGAAATATTTCTCAAATACTACCTGGAGAGGCAATGTTAGACTTTCTCAATTTACAGCATTACCTGTTTGTATGTGATTACCATGTGCAGATAAAACATCTGGTGATTTGCTTTCAAGCACCAATACTTTTCCTGAAGAAATACTTTTAAATCTACTCAGGAACACTTTGCAGAGTAAAAGTGATGAAATTAGGTTAATACATTATTTATGATGAGTGATTTGCTCAGCTCTATGCAAAGTGCAGGAACATCTTTAACCAGTTCAATCAAACTCTGTGAGAAGAGGTGAAAGCACATTGTTTTCCTCATTTTTCTCAGTTTCCTGGCAGACTGTCTTAATTACTTATTAAGCCTTAACATGGCAAGTTTTCATGTGGCAGCTGACAATAAAAAGCTGTGCCTGAACAGATGAGAAAACATCTGGGCAGTGCTGGGAATTGTGGCTTTGCTGCTTCACTTTGTCTGCTGTTTTAGCCTCAAACTCCTTTGCTTGAGGTTTTTCTGCCTCCTTCCCCCTCTCATTTCCTTTATACGTAGTTCTAACAAAGATATTGCAAGTGAGGAAGCGCTGGAGTGCAGAATGGAGAAGGAATTCTCGTTAATCATGCAGGTGCTCCTCACTGGGAAATTCATGGCACGTCTTCCTGCCTCATGTAGGGCTTCAGAACTGATTAACCAGCAGCTTTCAGCCCCCGTCCCACCACATAAGAAAGTGTGGCAATAAAAGAGGAGTCAGCTTCACAGCATCATATAGAGCTTAAATTTCACTGATAATAACAACATGAACAAGGAAATGTGAGAGATGGGGAAAATATCTCAGGGAAAAAAAAAAAAAAAACAAACTAGGATAAGAAAACAATTCTTCAGACCTAAAACTAAAAAAGCAGAACGAGGTACCAACAAGTGTAACAAATTTCTAAACCAAGGCTGCAAGAGAAAACACTTCAATCCCACAAGAAGCAATTAGAAGATCCTGTGGAAATAGTGCATTAAAAAGATGAGTCTCCAAAGGAATGAACTGCTTCTTCCTCATATCTTTCTTTTATTATTGTTCCATGGAATTCATTCCACTGCATATTCTCTCTGCAGTGTCTGAACGGTGCTTTCCCCTTTCAGAGCATTATCTGGCCTCTATTGTGAGGGGGGGATGAATAAGCAAAAGCTTTCAAGGCTGCTGAAGAGGATGAAGTAGGTTTTTATTTCTCTTTGTAGAACACAAAGCCTGTAGGAGGGAAATTGCAAAATATTGTTCCTCTCTAACGGGCGGTGGAGAAGTGCTTGGTTTATTTACTCATCTCCCACCTGAAACAACCCACAGATTATTTAAATAAATAAACTTCCACTACATGGCAAGTTTTTATGTGTGGAGTGGGGTAAAGAGAGTGAGAGAAATGAAGGGATATTCTTTTGTGAAGTGGATCAGACCTCTCCCTCTCTCTCCTTCCCTCTCTCCTCTTGCTCTGTTTGCCTTGTAGAGGGGGCTTGAGCTGAAAGAGTTTGGGCATCTCATAAACTAGGGCACTTAGTCCTTGGTTTCAGACATCCATCACCTCCTAGACCAGCCCCCAGGTGGTTTAAAATGCATCTTTCTCTGCAATTCTCCAGTTCCAGTCACCTGGAAGCTGAAAAGGCCTTTATACCCCTGAGTCTGCTCCCTGCTCTCGTGCCCTTGGTGATTCCTGCTCCTCCTTGGAGTCAACTGGAGACACAGCACAAATCTGGGTTAATGGGTTTTATGATCAATCAACTCTAAGGCACATACCTGTCCTATTAATAATGCAAATGGGATAGGATTATTGAGTTATGAGGAGCTTATACACAAATATTAACCGCTAATACATTCATTAAGCTGACTAAAGTATTAATTAGCTTTGATGCTGCTGGATTGCAGAGCACCAGATAGTTTTACCAAGGCCTGCTCAAATTGATTAGTGTGATCCCATGCTGTGCACTGTGTTTCCACAACAGAATTGATCTTTTTTTCCTGGATGAAGACAAACAACATTCTAAACCACATTGGGGGATGCTTCTGACTGAGCTTGGTCGGGGGAGTAAGTAAGAGAAATATCCTGCTGGAGAGTTTTATCCTGGGTGGGATCTTTCACGTCAAATTTAAAGTGGTTACTTTCAGTGTCTCTTTTTAGAACCAAAAGAAAAGTAGAATAAAATATTCTCCATTTTTAAACTGTGCTCACAACAACATCAGTGCAGACCCTCGTCGATGGGGGTATAAATATTGATACTTTAATATTACACAGGTTTAATAATCATAACTTTTTTTCTTTTAAAGGGTCCAAGACAAGGCTATGAAAGACCAGGATATTCCAACAATCCCACTGGCCTGGGGTCATTTCTCTGCATCTACTGAGGGTTAGAAAAGTTCTTCAGGGTTTGATCTGAGTGAGAGCCACACAGAGATGAATGTTTTCAAGGTATTAAAGGATCTTGAGCAAGGAAAATTTCAGATTCCACACAGTTTTTCCCCAGCTCTGGACGGCTCATTGTCCCTGCAACATTATCTCATTTCTCTGACTTCTGAAAGTGCCTTTTCATTTGCAGCACTTCACTGACAGTGAGTGACAGTTGTTCATTAACCATTATCTCTTCTAATTTTCTGTGAACTAATTGCGAGGAGCATAAGAAAAGCTATTAGAATATTGGAGCACTGAGGGATAAGAGAAGAAAAAGAGCAGGTCAAGATTACGTTGGGTCACTGCAATTTACAGCAATATTTCTTTGAAGAACTGTGGAGGTCTAGAAGTCAATTGTTAAAAAGAAGGCAGAAAGAGGCTTGCTAATATCAATTCATGAATCAATAGAAGTGTCCAGTTTGATAAGAACTTCTATAGCAATTTCTAGGGAAAATACTTACCTTATGACATGACAAGCATCTTTATTGCATGGGTTAAATGAGCCAGTAAAAGGAGAAATATTGCTGGTATACTGGAGCATAAAAGTAGGACTGAAAAACAGGAATACTCTGGCACAAAGTTAAGATAGCCAAAAAAATCAACCAGCCCACAATAAATCCCTATTTGAGGTGATGCTTACAGTGCAAAGCTGATTTTTGAGGAAGCAAACACGTTTTGGCAATCCAAAGGCATCATTACTCTGGCTAAAGTTTCCCAGAATTCTGAAAGAAACAGAAATAAAATTATTAAAACTATTGCAAGCTATGGGCAAAGTAATTTTGCTCATGTCTGCATGAACGTAACCAACCACAGCAGGAAATTCCTTAAAAAATTAGCTGATTGTGAGCACAGATCATCAGGTTTGTGTATGGATCCCTCATGGCTAAAATTCATTTTTGGCAGCAATGAATGAGGGCAGTAAAAAATTGTAAATCAAAATATATACTCCAATAATGTCCTGTTGTGTCAGTGGGATTTCAATAGCTCTTGAAAAAAAAGGTAGAAAAATGTGGGAATCTAATATTCCATATTTCCCTGTCTTTCAGAACTTAGACTAATAGGTGGAAGAAACAATGACAGAAAAAATGGCCCCATTGCTCACATGTAGCCAAAAAGTAAGATATAGGTATCTTTATAAATCAAATGTACAGCTCAGGCACAGACGGATTAACAGGTGGAGAAACAACAGATGACATTTCCAACACTGATGGGGAAGAAATATGAGCAGGTTGAGTAGTTTGGACAAGCTAAAATTCAGCACAGCACACTTTGGGAAATAGATGGCTTTTAAAATAACTCTGGAGTGTTTCTGGCCTCCTCCTGGTGCCTGCTGGCCCCTGGGACTGGGAATTCATCCTGCACCATTGTTAGGATAACAAAGAGTGAAGCTGATGAGCACTTGCACCAATCTGAAATGATTCTTATAGCCAATTACTCAGTCAGAGTTGTTCTGGCAGCAGAACACCAGAGCAGAAGTTAGAATGTTAAAATAATGCAACATAAAGGATTTATTGCTGTGAAAAAGGTTCCCCCTGTTTAGGTGGGGGCAGCGGGAAGGGTATTCCCAAAATCCTTGTGGATGGGACCAAAGAAACCATATCTTAGCCTTGGAGTAGATTAAAGGCAGGTAAACAGAACATCAGAAATATCAGTCACATAATGAAGGTGGAAGGAGATGACTTTTCCACACTGGTAACCTTCATCACAGAAATGCAGGATGAGATCATTGGAACACAGATTGGAAGAGTTATGGGATGAAAAACTAGTGAAATAAATCACCAAGCATGGCAAGTGATCGTCTGCAGCCAAGATGGATGTTTCTTTTTTAATTTACCCAAAAGACACAATCTCTTCAGTTGCACTCCATGATCTAAAAGGTCTTTTCAACTTAAACTTTTCTGATTCTCACTGGGATGAAGCTCTAGGGCTCATTATTTTCTAAGACATCCTGCAAGCTATAGACAACTATTTTCCACCATCCCTTCATTGTAAATGAACATCCAAGCAGATTAAAATAAACCCGTTTTATCACTCAGATTTAATGATTTCCTGCTGGGCTTTTCTAATGTTGAGGATTGGCCTTTTTTTAAAAATACTTACCAGTAAATTTGCCACCAGCCTTTTGTTTCTTCTCCAATGAGATGTTCCCCTCTTCCTTCCAGGTGTTTATATGTAGGGATGACCAATCCAGCAGGAACAACTTCTACCTCTCCTTGAGCCCGGAGTTCATAACACTCTTTGAACATCATCAGCCCTTAAGTGCTGAAACAAGGTGAACATTCAGCTCCAGAAACTTCAAATCCAGGTGAAGTGAACTTGCTGATTAACTCTGTGAATGAAATGAGTACTTTAGTGTAGTGCTAAGATGACAGCAAATGAAAATCTGTCCTAAATTACAGCAAAACCTGCAGGAAATTCAAGGCACCTGCTGAGAAAGTAGCTTTTCTCTTTAGCTGGAATGTTTAATCTTTCTGACTCTTGCCTTGTTCTGGGGGAGAGGGAACACGAGTACAGATTTCATGGCATGGTCATGGCCACTGAAATGCTCATATTAATCTGGATTTGCCTGCTCTGTGACTGCTGGCAATAAGGACAGTTAACATTCCAAGAGCACTTGCTCTTCAAGGAGACTGAAGAGCGTTGGGAACATTAAGCTCTGAGGTCGGTAATTTACTAATGAGAAAACTGATTCAAAGTGAAATTAGGACCTTATTCTCTCCTCCACTGAAGCCAGTGAAAATCATTTTGTGCTTTCCTTGGGCAGACTGTATGTGGCTTGGGAAAGGTCACACGAGAAATCACACAAAAATTAGACCAGAATTCCAACAACCTTTTTGCTTGTTCAGCACAGGAATAACTGTCCCTTATCCAGGGCCTGAGTTCTTTGTATCTGAATCCCTTTTCCTCAATGCAGTTTAGAAATATTCCAATGAATTTAGATTTTTCTAAGAGTACATTTCCAAGTTCTTTGAAGCAGTTAAACTTTATCAAAAGGCTGCTCTGTATTGCTGAGACCTTCCTAAGGCATCCAGTTTTCAGTGTGACATGATGACATTGAAGAAGTCACAGTTCAGTCTCCAAACTTGTTATTTTAGAGGTCGTGTTCTCCAAGAACCTGATCCAAACCTCTCTGTACTTAGTAGGAATCTTTCTGCCCTGGGGCTCCCTGGGATGTTTTTCAAGATCCCTCTGTCTCTGGTAATATCTCCAGCAGTTTATTACAAAATTCCACAATACAATATGCATTGCTTGTGTGGCTGGAAACCTTTATATCAGCAGGGCAGATAAATGCCAGTTCTGCTGTCATAATACACCTCACCAGAGGGGAGAAATTGAGGGTTGTGTTTATAAATTTGATCCATTCAGGGCCTAGAGCTGTAGTAATTTAGATATAGGAGTGTTTGTGCCCAAAATCACCAGAGCATACACATGATTATTTATCTATGTATAGTGCTGGTGTTGGGCATTAACACCTACTTGATATAACAGGAATAAACATTTCCTGAAAGAACACGAAGGACACTGGGAAGGTACAGCACAAGCACAGCTCTATAATGAACCTATGGAATATTTATGCTGTGCATTCCACATAAAATATGGGAGAGCTGCCCAAGTAAAGCCCTCCCAAAACAAGGTAAGCAGGACACTTTTATAATGGTGATATAACTGCAGGAGCATTCCTGGACTTTTATGAACCTTATGTTTCCTATTGGTGTTCCTTCAAATTATATATCACTTAAACATCACTCCCCAGCACAACTGAAATAATAAATGTATTTTCCTGCCATACAGAGCAGAGTTTTTGCATTATTCTGGGCTTCAACAAATTCTAGTGCGCAGTCAATGGCAAACATATTATTCTACTGTGTCACATAAAGGATTATTTCAGATGTTTGAAATAATGCAGACAGTTAAAGGTTATGGGAGAATAACATTAAAGGAATTCATTGTTTCAGGGCCTGATGGTAATGTGAATGATAAAAAGGTGATGACTATTACAGCCTTGAAGCATTACAGTCATTTTGCTATGATAATAGTTCTCAGATTTGGTTATAGCCCTAATATGTTACCTGAAAGTTAAAATCAGATTCTCAGGTCTGTTGGCACATAATGATCACTTATTGTCTAGAATGTAATTTCTGAAAGAGAATGAGAGTTGATCTTGAGGATAAATCCTGCTTTATTTTATGGTTTTCTTTTTTTTTCTTTTTTTTTTTTTTTAAGGGCTAAACATGGAGTTTGTACTTCAGAGAAGGAATCAATTTGAGATTGTCATTTTTGAAACACACTGAGATAAATCTCTCTCCTGCTCCCTGCTTTTACAGCTCTTTGGTCCAAGCTATTATGGACCATGGGCAGGCAATGTTCCTGGTGTTAGCAGCAATCCACCAAAGCTATCAGGTGGCTGAGAGCTTCAAACCAGACCCTACAGGTGGTTTGGGGTTTTCTTTTGGAATCCCAGAATGGTTTGGATTGGAAGAGATCTTAAAGCCCATTCATTCCACCCCCTGCCATGGACAGGGACACCTTCCACTAGCTCAGGTTGCTCCAACCTGGCCTTGGACACTTCCAGGGATGGGGCAGCCACAGCTTCTCTGGGCAACCTGTGCCAGGGCCTCCCCACCCTCCCAGGGAACAATTTCTTCCCAATATCTAATTTAAACCTACTCTCTTTTGTTTTGAAACCATTCCTCCTCATTCTCTCCCTACAGTTCCAGCCCCCCCAAAAGTCCCAGCCTTTCCCTTCCCTACACATGGCAGGAGAGAGGAGCTGGACTCAATTTTCACTCCCCCATGACCCCAAGCACTTGTCCCAGCTCTGCTACAAACACTGCCTGTTCTGATAACATCAGCACTTCACCATCCTTCATGTTTGTTTAATCCATCATTTTTAGGGCTCTCAAATAAAGAAGGAATCACTGTGTGGTCACCTCTACCAGTTCAAACTGTAAGATTGCAATCTTAGCCATAGCAAGGTCACAAAATAAAGCACATAGAAGGAGGAAAAGGTTAATAATTTTTTGCATTACCTGTAATAAGTGTATAATAAAGTAGAAGAGCTGTGAAAGTTAAAACATTTCTATTCTCATTCTCTCTTTGTAGAGAAACACATACAAACATAAAACCCTCAAACAAACAAAAAAACCAACTCAAAAGAATCCCAAGAGAAAGACAAGGACAAGGATTGGGAAAGGATAAGAATAATATTTCAGCAAAAGCTGGTTCCAGACAAGCTGAAAAATAAGTGAAATGGTGTCACAATTATGACAATACAGAATAGAAATTCAATATTTGTTCTGTAGTTTGTGCTCTATTTTACAGGACTGGGAAGTGTTTGATTAAAAAGGGAGTCGTGTTCACAGGCTGCATTATTCTTTCCAGATTTCACTTTTACAACTCAGGAGAGTCAAATAAATTTCTTACCCCGGAGTCTTTCTGCTGTCCCTGTATTTCTGGAGCTTCACACAGGTGATTGGAAATCAAACATTCAGGGAGATACTGCAGTTAAGTATTAAAGCTGACAGGTTTTATATGGCGAGCACAATAATTGATTCCATGTTATGCTAACCTACTCTGCAGGTTCAGGCAGTGAGGAGAGTTCCATCTCATAGAGGAGTCACTGAATTATTATTTTTCTTAAGGTTTCTAAAAGCACTGAGGCAATTTACATTTCAATTTTCCTTTTTTAAACATTTATAGAGATGAAGAATACAGTGAGCGCTTGTATGGGCAAGAGGACAAATCCAGCTCTGAAAATTCCCCTGAGAAAAAACCACACTGAAATAGTAAACAAATCAGTAAAATATTTAAAATAAGTTAACTTCTTGAAGGGAGGGGTTGTAGGTTTATTTTCTCTCTTTTTTTCTGGTCCATTTACTACCTGCTGGTGGCTTCTTTTTGGAGGGGGGAGCTGGGAAGTGCTTGGCAGTGGCAACAGGCTGAGTGATTTCTGGCATTTCAGAGTTTAAAGGCAAACAAACTGACACTCTTTTAAGCAAGATGGCACCAAAACCCATTGGCATAATGTGAGTGCTGACAGATTTTGGAGTCACCAACTCTCTTCTTGCTCAGAAGGTGTCCAGGGAAGAACTGAGACTTCCAATGTCCTTGGCAGAAGGGGGTTTTCCTTGGTACTCCTCAGTGGAATAAGAGTTTGTTATCATACTCCACCATGGAAAACAATCTGTAGTCTAAACCACTGCTTTTAAAAAATATATCAATATTATATCAATATATATATCTCAATAAATATATCAATAGTATATCAATAAGTGGGATTCAGAGTATTGTTGAACACGATGAAAGTTGCCCAACTTTCCCTTCCAGGGTCCTTTTCCCTCTTGAGATCCCCTCGACCAGTCAGCAGAGGGATTTCAATGTGTCTCTTATTTTTTCAGGAAGGTCTCTAAGCTGAAAATGAGGTGGTCTGGGTTGAACTGCCTCCCACCTTCCCTGGGACTGCTGTTTCACCTCAGTGCATGTTCACCTGGAACAGAGAGATTCCTTCTGGGACAGCTGCTCCAGGACCTTAATTCACATCCCAACCTCATGTTGTGCCAAGTGGAAAACCACCAACTCCAGGATTAATTCATAAAATACCACCTTTTTACCTCCTCTTAACAAGATATTGCCATGACCCAGTGTCTGTGGAAGTAACAGCATTTCTCCTTCAGTAAGGACCTGTTGGAAACCACTTCCTTTTTTGAGCAGTTTTTGCTGTATTTAGGGTGAGAAATGAGTGTCGCTTTCCTTTTGCACATTAGGGCTGCTGAGCTGAAGAAAATGGGTATAACTTTTCTCTTAATTCCATAATCTTATTATCCTAGCTCCAATAAAAACTGATAATGAAATCTGAGGATATTGAGAACTTGGATTTTTTCCATTAAGTTTAACTTGGTATTTTTTTTTCAAGCAATGGGGTACTTACCATAGTCCAACTCTTTTTAAGACTATCCAGGGAAACATAAACCCTTGCAGCAAGCCATTCTCTGTCAAAATTACATCTGACCTGCATATTTTTGCAATTCTCTGATGCATTATACAGTCAGATCAGGTTGTTCCTTGACCAGTTGTTCACCCCTATCAATTGCATTAGCATTTAACCTGTCAGCTTAAATTACAAAGGTAACAAAGGTTTGGGAAGGTTACAATAGATCCAATCTCACACAGAAGTGTGGAAGAATAATCTTAAATCATCCTTCGATGTGAGTGTTGTTTTTTCTCCTGACATACATTTACTTACCTTCTAGAAGCATCTCTGGGCAACTTTTTATGGTGAACACTACATGAGATCAGCAAAGCTTGTCAAATAAG